GAATGCGCAATGCAGTCTATACTGACAGAAAGCATAGTAATTTTGCCCAAGGATGCAGTTTGGGAGGGACAGGGTCCATCGATAAGAAGGGACAGGAGGGAGAATTGTAAAAGACCATGAGGAAATGTTCTGATGAATGTACATGTTATTTGATTGTAGCAGTGGCTTCACACATATATTTATATGTTAACACTTACAATTGTACACTTCAAATATGCATATTTAGATCAGTAATTCATTTTAGATCAATAATAGTTAAGAAAACTTGTTTAAAACTTAATATGAAGAAGTGGTTAAATAAAGAAAATCAAACTGAAGGCATATCAGGTATGCAATAATATCCAGTGTGATTTTGATTGACATTTTTTGCACAAACATTTTGGCTTTTTGCATGTCTTCATGTGAGGAAAGCTTTTTCAGATCCTCTGCCTACTTTTAATCAGTCTGTTTTCTTGAGTTGCTTAACTACTGTTGATGTCACTCCTATTAGATATAGAATGTATAAATATTTTTTGTACTCCTTCCCTTTACTACACAGAGCTGTCACACAATGTAGGAAGCAAATACTTAGGTTACGAGGAAAACATGAAGGATTCCAGAAGCCAAGGACTTCTAGTCATTGAATTCTCTTGCTAGAGCTTATACTTCATTTGAATAACAAGGATGCATATAACAAGGAGAGTGGGTGGGGGATCTACCTAGGACCAACGTATAGAGATGGCATTAAGAACATTTTGAAGGAGCCATCTCTTAGGGCATTGAGGAAGTGGGTCTTAGTCATGCTTGGAATATGGATCAGACTCAACCTAGAGTGAAAAAGAGAAGGTGGACCCATGGCTACACAGAGGTTGGACGGGGCCAGTCCAAGTAGTATTTCCTCAGCTCCTTCTGTGCAGTCAGCCTATCAGCTGTGATTTTCCATTAATTCATCAGCAGTGTGAACAAATTCTCATAGGTTAAGAAGCTTGGACATGTATTGCTAATATATGCCCCCTTATAATTAATTCTTAGGATACTCGGAAGCTCCTGTTTGGCAAGAGTATAACAAGTTCTGGATCATCTTTAAAAGGGAGGAGTGGCACTGCATGCTTGTAATCCCAGCAGTCTGGAAGGCTGAGACAACAGGATTGCAAATTCAAAGCCAGTCTGGGCAACACAGCAATTCTGCAAGATCCTTTCCCCTCCAAGAAAGAGTTGAGAATGTAATTCTTCCCAAAGTCCTCGGTTCAATGTCTAGCAAAAGGAAAGGACAAAGGGTGGGAGGGGTGAGAAAGGAGGAGGGGGGAGAAAAGGAGGAGTAAGAGGAAGAGGGCGAAGAAGGGAAGGAGAAGAGGAAAGAGGAGGAGGAGAGGGGAAAAGACAGAAAAGAGGGAAGGAGAGGAGGGGAGGAAGATAGGAGGGGAAAAGGAGGTAGTAAAGCTTAAAGCTGGGTGTGCATCTCTGTAATTCAAGCATTTAGGGAGGCTGAGGCAAAAGGATTACAACTTCAAGTCCCACTTAGGCAGTTTAGCAAGACCTCATCTTAAAATGATAAAATGAAACAAACTGAGGATGTAGCTCAGAGGCAAAGCACCCTGAGTTTTATTCCCAGCAATGCCAAGTAAAACAACAAAACAATGGATGTTGAAAACAAGCAGTTTAGCTCAGTGGCCTAAGTGCTTGCTTGGCAAGTGGGAGGTTGTGAGTTCCATCCCCTGTACCAAAGGGAAAAAAAGAAAGAAAACAAGTAGACTAACAATACCCAAAATTAACCACCAGATGGCAGACGTTGCACAGTAATTGATCTGAGCACAACTAGCATGAATTCTCTATAGACTAATCCAAAGGCTTCAAAGGGTTCTACATACTAGCAATTATAGATCCTCCAAAAAGTCATGAGGTCAGAGTTGGTTTTTATTTTAGACCATATATAGTAAATTTCATAACAGCGTAGAAATTCAAATGCAGAAAGTAAGATTAGACAAAGTTAATTAATGGAAGACCCACAATATCTTGTTTTTGGTTTGAGTGGTAGGAAGGTAGTGAGGAGGTTCAGTGACTCCAGTATCTCGATGGCACTCATAGCAAAAAGTGATTGTCTAGTATGCAGAGTTTTCTCTCATCTAGCGAGTGTACATTGGAGCTGGAGATCAAGTCCTCACAATGCTGCTGTATCTATGCCTTACCTCATCTGCACAGAACAGACAGTGGGAGCGGTTCCCACCAGAGTACTACATTTGATCTGCAGTTTCAGCTCAGATCTACTGCTGTGGAAACTCCTCAGGGGCTCATCTCAAATGCAAACAAACCAGCTTAGCATCCTCCCCTTCCAATGGCTTCCTATTGCACTTAATAAAATTTATATTCTCTCTGTTAAGAGTCTGGGAGGGGCTACATGATTTGGACCCTGCCTATCACCCCCTATATTACTCTCTCCACTCCACTATCCACAGTGATCAGCATGCATTCCTGCTTGAAAGTTTTTCGACTCACCATTGTCTCCTGGAATTTTATCCCTAGAGATCTTCCCTGCTCACTCTCTTACTCATGTGTGTATCTGCATAAATACTGCCTTCCCAACAATAACTGACTGACCTGCTTACCTATGTATACATGACACCTACAACCTCATCAACCCATTATCTCTAGCTCTGTCTCTACATAACCTTTTGCATAGAGCTCTCACTCTGAAATTAGATTTTCCCCTTTTTCACTTGATTACTGCATACCAGAATACTAGAATGGAAACTCATGGGGGCAAGGGCCTGTCTGTAAGCTTGCCACTCTGCCACCCATGGTACCACCAAGCACCACCTAGACAGTGGTACTTTGCTACCCACAGAACAGTCCTACAATAAATATCTATTGAATGCATGCATGAAATTCATTTAATTTGCTCAATTTAGGGGTATTTTGAGTCATCCCTCTCCCTCATTCCTACATTCAGTCATTGGCAAGATCTGCCTATTTTGCCACAAATCCATCTTTATTCCCTTCACCCGCACAAATACTTTGGTGACTGTCTTCACATCTCGGGCTAGGACAATGCAATTATTTCCTTCTAATATTTCTGCTTTTAGGGCATCCTGCTATCATACCAGCTTACTGATCCCAAACACCATCTTGGTAGGATGAATGTCTTTCTACTGCCCTTCCCAACCTCTACAGCACACTCAGCCTCCCAAGTCCTGGAGGGGGGAAACTATTGAAATAAAATCTCCCCTATTCCTCTTTGCAGATGCTTTCCTCTAATCCACCGAGAATTCTGTTCCTGCTCTTGATTTGCCTTTTCCTGGGGTCGTGTACATTCGCCCTCCTCCTCCTAACTCTCACTGTGTTTGGTTAACTCTCCTTCCCATTCTTCATATCCCAGCCTAAGTCCACTTTCTTTATGTATCTCCTGCTGATCAACACACACCATGGTGATGTCTCCTCTGGCTTCTTGTCTCTACCACACGTGTCTCTAGTTGTTTAAGGCCTCAAATCGTCTAACGCTTTGACACACAAACACGTGCATACACACGCACACATGCATGAATCTGGGCACCCAACATGCCTCTAAATACTTCCTTTTACTACAAAATTAAGAAACACTGTCACTTTAATCTCTAGCAATAGAAATTTGCAGAACATTGGTTCAATGCTCTGCCTTGTAGGATGAATAACCTGAAGTCTGAAAGGAGTTGAGGAGCTGTCCAGTGCCAGGGAGAGCCCGCGGTGAAAGGATGCTGTAGCAGAGCAGAGGCAGCCAAATGGAGGTCAGCCCGGGCCAGGGGCTGGGCAGAGCAGGACAGCTGCCTGGTCGGGAAGGTGGAGTGGCTCCACAAGAGGACTGAGCTAGCAAGTTAAAACCGGAAGCAAAGGGAGCTACGCACAGAACCACACATGTACCTGCACACACACCAATACAAATATATGCAATATACATATTGTATCATATTAGTTGACAAAATCTAACATGATTGTTTTATTTTGGGACCTACTCTTCGTTAATTATTCATTCTTCTCTTTCTTCTATCCACCTTATGTATCTTTTATTCCCATTTCTTTTTCCCCCATCTTTCCTTGCTCTGTTGAGATTGTGTTCTCACCTTTCTGATCTTTCTGCTGGTTATTCTTTCCTTTCTGTCTTATCTTTAATTGTCTTCTAGTCTTTCCTTTTCAAAATTTTATTTTTCCCTCACCTTCTGCCTTTTCCTTCTCTTACTTCTTTTAGCTTTCTGTATTTCATATTCTATCAGGAAATGCTTTAGCATTTTAACAAGTCCAAAAACTAGCAGTCTTTTTATGTTCCTGTACAACACCTGCTAGACCAGCCAAATGTTGAAACCAAACAAAATGTGGGCAGAGCAGCTCCAAAGCTTTGGAAGGAATTAGACAAATCAACATGGGGCTATTATTTAATTATGCAACAGACTCAGATAGGAAGCTTTCTGCAAATATCCTTTTAAATTGTACAGTGGCTCCCAGCCACTCATTCTTGGCATAAAATGGAATTGTAAAACTAGGTTTTGAAATTCAAATTTTCCCTCTGTTATGACATTTCTAGTTATCAAAATCTACTTTAGAAAATATTTTCTCCCAATAACAAAAGCTCACTAAAACATGTTCAGTTAGGGAGACCATATGCAACTGTAGAAACAATATTTATCTTAAGTAAATTAGAAATGCTTTCTAAATTGACTTGTTACCAGGAGCATAGGAAACTATGAAGGAGAAAGTACAGAAAATCTGTAAAAGGTAATAAAACATAAATCACTACTGTAATTTTGGGATGAGCTTCCCTACTGGGAGGGGAAAGTAATTTGAATTTATTATGATAAATAGTTTTCCTGAAAGATTCTGAGATATGTTTTTACAGACAGTCTTAATTCTCTTATGAGGAATTTAACAACATTACAGGCCTAATATAAAGGATCTTCTTTGATGTACTAAATTTTTTTCATATCCATGAACTCAGATGTGTTTTATCATTGCTTAAAATTAAATACTCTGATAGTATGCAAAATCATGTTACTTACAAAAGAGAGTGTTGTTTCTCATGAGTTTGGTAGTTGTAAATGCTTCCAAGATAGGATTCACTTCTCTAATTTAATCTTCTAAAATCTCCAGAGGTACAAGAGAAGTACAGCTGATTAAGTTTTTAGCAGAATTCTATAATGTGGCAAGTCCTCCTTCTCCTGGTCCATCTGATTCTTGTTTTGATCTGACTTCGTTATAAAATATTATTTGGTAAAAAGTTGAAGAAGAAAAAAAGATCAAGATCAGTCAGGTTCAAAGAAACTGACTTAGTTGAGGTTGAACTTATGAATACATATTGGAGTTCAATTATCTGTCAAGCTTCTATTTTGGTTGGCATTGACCTGAATGGGAAAAGAAAAAGGTTATTCACTAAAATAAGCAATAAAAACTAGAGCCCAAATTTTCTGACAAATTGAATCTTGTATATTTTCCCTTTGTTAATTTCTTCTCTTCCTATGTAATCTTTATACCTGAAAATTTATCTTGGAATATTACATTACAATTTCCCTTCTAACTGTAACTGAGTAATCTAGAGTTGAGACAAAGTTAGGATTCGCAATGATAGTGTTCTCTAATTGGAACCATACATACACGACCCAGAGAACCAAAATGGTTATCTACACAGAGTGAGCCTAAATTACCAACAAGCCACATGACCCAAGGGTATTATTATTTTCTACTCTTCCTCAAAGGTCATTTTATGGGAATAAGTATTTAGTACATAGTATTCAACTATACATAGATTTACAAATATATATCCCTTCTGTATAATATAGGTCCACTGTCTGAAATTAGTAAAAGAACTACATGAGCAAAGGTTTTCCATATGGAAGTATCATGTATCCCATGTCATAAGATTTGATGGCTAGACCAAATGAATTGTATGCACTAAAAAACCAAACATCTTAAAATGGACATTACAACAAAGTCATATCTAGTGAATAATAGAGTTTAATGATACCAAAGAAATGTATCACATTCATGTGTGCAGTGACTGAAAATAAAACTTCATATTGTTCAAAAATTGGGCCAGATGGCTGTTTTGGTACACCTTCTATTTTTTGGAACAGCAAGCCAAATCCAAGGTCAAATTGAAATAAACAAAATAATAGTTTCAGACATAGAAATATGAGAGAGAGAACAGCTTGATAACTCATAGATTTTGAGGTCCATTCATTGTTACCTAATTTTATTTTGCATTAGAGCTTTCAACTGGTAGTCATCCTTGTAATACTATGAAATGTATGAACTTGGAAGTTAAACAAATGGGCTACCTTAAAATTTCCTAATGTACTGGAGGATAGCTCAGCGGTAGAGGATTTTCCTATGACACATGAAGCCCTGGGTTCAACGCAAGCACCAGAAAAATGCTTCCAAGAAAAAAAAAAAAGCCAAAGATTTTTAAAAATTAAATATAGAGGGAAGGGAAAGGTTTTCAGAACAAGAAATAAAATTAATGTTGAAGTTTTTGACATCAGGCATTTGGATTTGATACAGAACTTAGAGGTAAAGGAAGCTGATTTTAATTGGTGCATATTTATGGGAATGTGACATCACATTGTTGTTCGACACTCAAAAATATCAAAAATGACCATTCAAGGCACTAGTGACACTCACCTGAAAGTAAGATGGTTTGGATCTTGATGGATAACTACCCGAGGTTCTAACCAGCAGACACCAGGCTAGTAAATGTCCTGTGAAGCGTATCTGAGACCAATTGTATAGTTTCTGTTTCATGGTATTGATTTACAGTAATGATGATCCTCTCAAGAAATAAAGGAAAGATAGAAAATAGGACTTTTCCAGTCTTTACTAGCAGTGCTGGAGTTTTTTTCTATCTCCTTACTGGTGAAGTGTTAGACAGTGTCACATCACCCTCCCTGTCATGATGTATGAATACACACCTACTTTTTCCTGGATTCGTTCACATTGCTGTGTTGGCAAAATATTAGATGATATACACTCTGTTGTTCAGGGTCTTTCGAATACCACATTCTCCTTTGGGATTTGAAATTCAGTGACATGCTTAACAAGTTCTAATTATCAATTCAATGGAACTAGGTGATTCTAACTATACAGGCTAATGGAAGCAAGGAAAATGTCATAGAAAAGTGAAAACTTCAGATGGAAGTTGAGGATATGTTGAAGGTCTACTGGTTTGGGAAAGGAAAAGGTCTTCCAGGCTGAAAAATGTCAACATGAGTAACAATTCTGGAGTTCAGAAATATCAAGGACTTCTGTAAAATCAAGAAGCCTATTCTTCATGAGCGTTTCAATAAAAAGGAGGATGCTACCTCCACTAAGAAAAAAATGCAGCTTTTCTTCAGATTCTCACATATTAAGGCTTAGCACATGGCTAAATAAACTCCTCTTCCCAGAAGAGGACCTAAACACTCAAGTAATCAAGCAACTGTGCCTTAGGCTTCGTCTGTAGCAATCAGGTAACTTTCTAATCTAGGAAGAGGATAGTAGTGAATGTGTATCCTCACCACCCAAGGTATCACAGAATCCTTTGAAATTCTAGAAAACAGCCTCTCCTCTCTATATGGGGCTGAACTCTACTCACCAACTTCGAAGATTCCAAGATCCCATACCCTTCTTGGGATAGTGGAAGCCAATGAAGAATCCAACACAAGTGGCATCATCATTGCACAGGAAGGTGAAGGACTTGAGCACTGCTTAGGGCTTCAGAGCTCTTTGTGGAATTCAGTCACCTGCTGGCTTTCCCCAGCCCTGCCTGTGCTTTTCCTATCAGATCAATGCAAAATAAGGGTTGACTGAGTTTCTTTTATTTCTCTTTTTTAAAATTCTTTTCTTTTTCCTCTAAATATTTTAGCCCTCGTTGCTTATTATACTGGACCCAGCCCCAATCTGGCTGCCCACAGCTTGCTGTCTGTTATATAACCATATCCAGTGGACTTTCAGCTTCCCTTCTTCTTTTTTTTTTTTTTTTCCTTTTCTTTTTTATTGATTGATACCAGGGATCGAATTCACGACCATACACTTGCAAGGCAGGCGCTTGTGCCGCTGAGCTAAATCACCAGCCCCCTCAGCTTGCCTTCTTAACCAGTCAGTCCTGAGGCCTTTAAGGAGATCATTTGGGAGAGTGGAACTCTTTCCACATGCAGGGTACTTGAGCCCAGCTTGTGCACTATGGTTTATAAAGTGTCTCTAAATGATGACATCACCATATTTAGAGAAACTACTGAATAAAGCATTATGACAATTTGCAGGGATATCTTATTTTTCCAAGAATGCATTCTGCATTGAAAGAGCAAACAAGTAAAATACGTCAAATTTAAATTTTATTCTCTGTGAAATGTAGTTGTTTATTTCCATTGAAACTTAGTGCAGGCCACAAGGAAAAAACATGGCCAATGTGTGAAGAGAAAAGTGATTCTCTCAATCTAGAGGGGTTGGAATGTAGCACAGAGGTACAGTGCTTGTTTAGCCAGTGCAAGACCCTAGACTGGACAGCCCTCATTCCAGAAATAAATAAGTAAATTTGTATATGATTCCCTCAGTCTACAAAAGAATGCAAAATGCCAAAATATTCTTATGCTAGAGGGTTATGTATTGGCATACAATTATTCACAATTTCCTTATCTGGAGTTTAAACTCAGACACAAGACAAAGGATTCGCTTCATTTACAAGTAGTGAACAAGTATCATTTAAAAGGTTTGAAATAAAAGAGATTTTTTTCTTGCTTCTATGTACACCTCATAACAACATCTAAATTCTAGGTGGTTTTTGCACTAAATACAAGTGGTAACCAATTAGTGAATAACATTTTGTCGCTTCGAGACTTTTAAGAATCACTGTGCAATATCTATAGAATCACTTCTTTGTGTCACAGAGAATAGTAGATGCTATATGTGATAAAAGCTGAAATTTACAGGGGTCCTGGTCTGGGCGGGTCACTGGCCCATAGAACTGTAAATGTAACATTTCACTTTGAAGTGTAAGCTAATCACCCCAGTAACCCTAGGAGGTGGGTACTATTTTGCCCACATTTTATCCAGAAGGAAACACAGTCTTTAAGGGATTAGACATCTGCAAAGGCCATGCCCTGCTTACAATGCCCCAGTGTTTCTTGGTGACATAAAGAAAAAAATAGATCACATATTTCTCCTTTTGATTTTTGGGGCCAGCCACTTACTGTGAAGCATAACCTGAAAGGCATTATCAGCAACAGCAAAAATGTGGGGGAAGCCTCTGAGCACTTCTTCCCTGTGTAGGTAGCCACTTCTGATCTAGTGGAAGCCACCTGTAAGGGTTTAGGGTCACAGAGGACGGACCTGCACGTGTCTCAGGGAGGACCAGAAAAGATTTTTGAAAATTGGTTAGAAATACTTCCAGGTTCAGCAGATCTTCCCTTTTCAGGTAACATTTGTTCAAATATTTACTAATACAGGAACACACAAGGAGAGCTTTTGGGTTATAAAGAGACTTCTAAAAGGAGGAGACAGAATCAGGTCAGCCTAACATCAACATGTGGGACTGCCTCTCCCCCCGAGAGAGCTACTAAATACTAACACTCACAGCTTTTGAAGACAGAGAGAACACTAACCACAGGCCTGCAGGGATTTTAGTAATCGGCCACCAGGCATTGGAAGCCAGAAGGGAATCTCTGCCTCAGCAAGACTTGGAACCTGACTTGTAAGACACTGATGGGAAAAAAAAGGTTCCTGTAGGTCACTCAGTCATTGAAGTGACTGACACGTGGCTCCCAAAAAGCTCTTATGCGTGGTAACTGCTAAGCAAATATTAAAATCTTGACGAATACGAGTGCATTGCTACCATGATATGGTTTCTTGGGATGCCTCTGAAAGATTTGCTAACATGCTCTTTGTAACACTTTTCCTCGATATATAAATTTTTGTGTCAAGTGATTGCTCCATTTAGTACCAAATAGCGATGCCCTCTTCTTTTGAAAACTCTCACGCTCTATAGTCTCGGTCCAAGTGCTCTCCACAGACCTCTTTCCCAGTATTCCAATAACAATTCCTTTTCTTTGAATCTTTTCAATTTTTATGCTTCAAGTATTCCTCTTTGTTTTCAAGCAAGACACACCATAATTAATTCTTTACATCTTCAAAATCTTCCCTTTAGTCTCAATTTTATTTTTATACCTCCCTTAATTACCTACTTTTTTCACCAATCAGTACCCCCACAGTTTTATTGCCTCTATTAACATTACTAAGACTAAATGGCTTTGTATGTGTAGCAGGAAGCAGAAAGCTGGAGCCACACAACATACATGGTGAACCTGTGGGAAGGGAACTTTCATTGTATGTTGGAAGAATGAATACCACAACCTCACCCACCTTGACATTCCTCTTTCCATCTGCTTTAATGTTTTTTTTTTCCTTCCTGTGATTTCTTTTAAAAATTGTACTGTATCCATATTATACTTACACTATTGAAGAAAAAGTAATTTTAGAGAATGGGACCACAATTTTGGACAATTTCCTCAAAAGAGCAAGCCTTTTATCCAGAGGCCTAATAAAATTGTATTACATACCATTGAGAAAATGAAAAATCATTTACAGACTGGGATAAAATTCTGTAAGTCTCCGATCTGATAAGGATCCTATCTGAAGGCAAAAACAGCTCTCACAATTCAATAATTAAGAGGGAGCAAAGAGTCCAATTAAAAATGGTCAAAGGACTTGAGAAATGTGTGTCTCTTTAAAGAAAATATACAAATGACCAGTTAGTATATAAAATTTACATAAACAGTATATTGCTGTTCAATATCATTGTTATTAGGAAAATGCAAATAAAAATCATGTAAAGATACCACTTCAAACCCACAAGGATGGTTATCATAAAAGAAAACAACTGTTATTGAGGATTGGAGAAATTATAACACTTAATACACAGCTTAATGGTGTAGCTACTTTGAAAAAGAGTTTATTAGTTCTTCAAAATGCTAAATGTAGACTTATCGTATGCTCTGCAATTCCATCCCTAGATATATTTGGATATATAAATATATCTACAAAAAGAAACACACATCCATCCACAGACATTCATGGTCATAGCAACACTGTTCATAATGGCCAACATATGCAAACGACCTATCATCAACTGATGAACTGGTAAATAAAACTGACCACATGAAGTATCTGTACAAACTTCAACATAAATGAACCTCAAAAGCGTGTTAAGCAAAGAAGCAGACACATAAGACCACACAAGCCACACCAAAGACCACGCGATCCTACTGACCTAGCTGAACTAGCCAAACGTACACAGAAAGAAAGTAGCTCAGTCACTACATAGGTCTGGGAAAGAGATGAGGATGGAGCGCTGATGGGCAAAAGACTTCTTTGGGGGATGTTGAAAATAGTCTAAAATTAGGTGATAGTAATTTTTATCTAATTCTTCAACTACCCTAAAATCACTGATAAAAACATTTAAAAGTGTACATGAGTAATCTGTAAATTTTATCTCAATAAACTTGGATAAACTTGTTTTTTAATATGCTGGCACAATAGTGATGAAAAAGAGATGAGACGTCTAAATCTGTCTTTTCTCTTCTACTAAGATATTGTCTGTAATTGAGATACTGTCTAAGATATTGTCTAAGATACTCTACTAAGATATTGTCTGTAAGCTAAATGGCCCACTATATTCTTAGTGTACTGATTTAAGATGTCTGAATGTACTCTTACATTCTGACTTAGATTCATAATGGACCAAATTCCTTCTTTAATTCCATTTATGGTAAAAACAAATTGGGGGCCAGGTGTGGTGTTGCACACCTGTAATCTCAGCACTCAAGAGACTGAGGCAGGAGGATCTCTATGAGTTTGAGGCCAGCCTAGGCTACCTAGACCGTGAAAGGCCTTTCTGGACTACATAGTGAGACCTCATCTCAAAAATATATGGGGATTTGGGATTTTTTTAAACACAGAAATTGACTGTAAGAAAGGTGTATTAAAGTGCTGTCGTTGATATTTTATAGTCACCAGAGTTCTATAAATGCCATGGCATGTCTTTAGCTCTTCAATTTTCCAAACACAAAGGTAGCAGAAAACAAACTTTTTTGGTAACAAATATACCCGTTATAGGACATGACTCATTATGGAGTTGAGAAGGGGCAGAATTTGAAAGTGTTTACCTTTAAAGTAAATATGGACAGAGATTGATCTCTGAGATCTACAAGGAAATATTCAGCCAAGTCAGGGCCGAAATAGGGCCAGATCACCCAGGGGGCTGGCAGGTAACATAAAAGAGTGATATAGACAAAGTTTCTGAGAGTGACCTATCTTCCTAATACTTCACTGCTGCTTTGAATGCCCTAATGATAAGTGTCTTTCTTGCTGCTAAGACAAAAATACCTGATACTCAAAGTTAATGAAAGAAAGATTTATTTGGCTCCCAGGTTGTAAAAGTTTCAGTCCATAGTCCACTGGCTTCAAGACACAGAGGCATGGCGGTTAGGCATTACAGAGGAGAAACAGTTCATGCCAGGCAGAAGCACGGGGCTAAAACAAGTCTCCTTCTGTCCCTTGTATTGTACCCAGGCTACTGGGTGGTGCCAAACCAATCAACAGAATGATTTGATAAGTATCCACCCTTAATACTAGCATTTACCATCCTAGGATTTCATCATGAATCAATCACACACTCTAGATGCAGCCACCTTTGAAACAGCCCCACCTATGACTGCACGAGGCTTTGGGGGGGGACAAATAAACACAGGAGATAATATTCAAGAAACTATTGGGCATTTTCATGAATTCACTGAACATTCCCTCTGTGAGTGCTCACAGACTTTTACCTTGATATGTGACCTAATGTTCTCATTCAAAGATTAGCTTCTAATTCTGAAGCCAAAGCTATTTCCAAGTTTTTAATCTTTTCCCCTAGCATTTAACACTACAGGCCACTTCATCTCTTACATTCTCTGCCATTAGACTCTTTTG